GGGTACCCTGATGCAATCCAAAGACCTTTGCACCGCTGATACGTGGGACGTGGTTCCAACAAATCCACACTGGATCGCCATCGTTTTCTTCTGCAGATGCATCCACACGTAAGAGAGGGTCACGAGGTTGCGTTTGGTGCCCCGCGAATCTGGTCCCGTCAAGTTGTGCTGGACTCTCCGACGTTGCATCTAACTTTCGCGGCAGACTTCGTGGCTGTAGCAACTGAACCCCTCAAGCACAGTATTTGGACATCTGCAAATGACAATCTATGGCTCGAGGCATAAGATTGGCCCCGACATTTCACAGATGTTCAAATTACGGTTGAGCCTTCCATCCAAATCACGCCAACAGAAGAAATCGTTGCCTCTTCTTACTGATCAGATTGCCATTCCTAACTTGTTCGTTGTTCGTGAACTTCACTGGGTCGTCGTAGAGACAACAATGTGGGAGGGGCTATCACGACGCATCATAACAGTTGTAGGAGTAGCAAATGAAGATAGGGATCACGCCGTAGTAGTTAGTACTTGAATGCCATGCGCCACCACTGCTCTCGTGCTTGTTTGCGTTGAAGGAAGCCTTTGTGGACGACGACGTGTACCAAGTGCTTGCAGCCGCCGACGCCTCCGACTACGCCGCCAACTTCGAATATCATCGCATCACGTCGGATCGGCTTCTCTCCTTCACCGACAATGACTTAATTAGGGCAAGTTCATTGATTTTAAACGAGAGCCTCCTCTTAGAACAACTGGTCACTTGATTTCTGGACTTTGTCCAGTAGCCAAACAATTTGTGACTCGGGTTTCCTATTGGTTGGTTTGTCTTTTCACAGATTGGCGTTCACGCCCTCGGTGCACGTGAAGCGATCCTTCGCGTCCTCGAAAAATACAAAGCAAAGCAGGTACCCCCATTTTGTCTGCTTATTGATGCTTACTGGCTGCCGGACGTTCCGCTTAAGGCGATCTAGCCTGGTTTTGTCTGCCCACACCCCTAGAACGTGTCCCTTCCCGAGCCATCAGCACCTGTTGACGAGGAGGTCAGTGAAGAGGTCTATTCGGCGAAGTCTCTGGGAGCGGACATGGACGAGAAGGCAGGGGTATCTTCGACGGCTGCTGGAGACCTTCCACAACCCTCTGCCCCTCCTGCAAGGATCGTCGCCCGCTTCGAGAGCGAGTGCTGCGTCTGCCAAGATGCCGAGGTTAGCTTTGTCCACAATTACTGACTGTCCAGTACCAGGCATCATAAATTATCATTGGCTGTTCACAAATATTGATTAGTTCAAATCAATCCGTCTTTTTTCAGTGTTCTACCATCTTCCTCCCGTGCGGTCACGTGTGCTGTTGTGAGGTCTGCTCAGCACGAGTGTCCACGTGTCCTTTGTGTCGTAGGATCGTGGAGCAGTGCGTCCAACTCTCTTGAAGTCGCCGACCCATCGCCTACATCCCTTATTTATCTCCGCTTTGCTTGTCTTTTTTCGTTTAATTCAGTCCGATCAATCGCCTTTTAGAGTGATATTTCCCGCATTGAATTCTTTCAGAACCCTTCGGCTCGTTTCTCTTTAACTAGCTAACAGCAATTGACCAAATTGGGCTGTGTGCAGAGATTAACGGGCTAACAGGACGTGAGACTTTAATCCGCTTACTGATTAGCTCGTTCTCTCCGCTGAATCGATTGAGATTTCAACTGACGAATTTCTGTTTTGAGGCTGTTCGTGTTAACCAATCACAGGTGTGCGTGTTTGCCCGGAAAAGACGTAGACACATTCGGGAAAATGGGTTACCGCGTTTTTTGTGTAAAGAAGAATTGACTTTCTAACAAAGTTGCAAGCATATTTTGGCAAAAGGTCCGATCTGTGTGCCTTAAAAACGGCAAATCGGACACTATTTGGGGAAACACAACTATGGAAGGTGTTTGGGCATGGAACAGCTTCTGCTTACTCCACGAAAGTTTAAATCGATTTGGTGTCTTGTCAAGGCAACCTGGTCACGCGATTGCATCCTGGTAAATAATTGTGAAGGTAAAACACCGCATGATCGGTACAAAGCACCTCCGCCAACAGTCTAAAAACGTTAAAAGGGTGCATTGATTCCTCGTCCACCCAGATATGACCTCGCGAAATGCCAGACTCGATACAACGACCAATAGCTGAAGAGAGCCCACACAGGAGGGCACTTAACTAAAGATGCAATCTTTAACCACTGCGATAGCTTCTCAGATAAGCCAATTAGCGGAACTAGTTGGATATGAAAATTTTATCGATCTTGGAACACTGTACAGGCGGGGGGAGTATGTACACATGAATTTTGGCAGGTGTGAAAAATCTGAGCACAAGGTCACGCGGTGACCGGGCCATCATTGCGCACGTGTGCAGTCGGCGGACATCGGGCTGAGGTGGTGATCTGGAGTTGTGGGGGGCGTCGTCTGGGCTACTCACCCCATACCTGCGACCTTGAGATCACGAGAATGAAGGTCGCTGCAACGACACAGACGGTCGTTATGACGCCCGGTGAGCCGCGCAAGCGATGGTAGAGCCGGTGGAAGAAAGGCCGTGCCTGTGAATGCAGGAAAAACGACCTGTTGGTTTATAGCGAACAATTGAAGGAGTCTATACATTCCAAGGGGCGACACTCCTAGCTGCCGATGCGGAACTAATAATTTACCAACCTGACACCAAGAATGGTACTGTTAGTGGATCGGCAGCCAGACCAGTGATGACGGAACCAACTCCCAACGTTCCACGAACCATCAAGATCGCAGACCGCGATGTTGATTGGAACTCGGATGCAAGCAGGCAACACACGAGGACGATTCCACTCACTTTAAGAGGACTTTTCGCCAAACAACAAATTCGCCTTCTGTCTAGCGGTATTCAGTTCACCTCAAGAACTTGAACCAAATGCGTTCTTGAGATTGCTCCACTTTCAGGTGACTTCAGACCTGAGAAGTACATGCCACCAACTTCCTGAACTGACACCCTTACGGATGCGAGATCCATTCCACTACAGCTGCCGTCGTTGTCTCATTAAACAAGCGACCGCTGATTGACTGGACTTCAGTCACCAGTTCGGCTCTTGGACTATGCCATCAGGCAGCAACGCAAGCTCTGGGGCATTTGGGTAACTTTACTAGGCCCGACCTTGAAATTTTGCAGCGTCATTTGAGTCATGACAGGGGTGGCTTCGCAGATTATGGACTAAAGTTGCGGCAGAGTAGAACAAGCACCTCCAGACATTCGACTTGCTGGCCTGGTGCATTAAGTGATGATTTGTTAGTCCAAGTTGCAGGGATTAGACGCCGAAACAGGGTCACGTGGGCGTCATTTGAACGAGCCAACCCACCACTCCGGTCTGCGCGTCCCCTCCACACCTTAATCGCCCCACTAATCACATCTTAATTGCCCGCCTGACTAGACGCTGTCACGTCACGAGGGTACCAACACGGCCCCGAGATTCGACCTGTTGCCACGATGTGCGTGTACAACCCCGGACGTGACACCTCCCTCAGGCGCGCCAATCTCACTTCCGAGTCAAACCCCCTTGTTGCTAGGCCAGTAGCGATGAGAGGGACACGTGACTGGTAATTAAAAAAAGGACCACTGTGGCATTACACAACACCCCGGGAATCTTATAACTGCCCGGGAAGGTGGCTGTCTGACCAGCAAGGAAGTCTTGGAGCTTCGAAACACTTTAGTTCGATGTCGAAGACAAACAGAATGCTGAACCCCAGGTCCATTCCTTCAACGTTGTTCTCAACGACGCAAATGTCAACTCAACAGGTTCATCGTCTCGGCGTAAACGAGGTCCATCACTGAGGTCTCGCGTTACGCTATTCGCCCACACACAAACGCGCATTAGCGGAAATGAAAGAGCTTATTCAGCGTATATGTTACGCACACGCACACGCGCAAGGGGTAACGCATGGGTGTTCATTTTGACCCGTCCACACCCCGCCCTCTCCCCCCGACATAAAACGAGGTCACCCACGTCGCCAGCCCGCATATCCTCCTACCGGCGGCATCCCGACACCCCCGCTGGCTGCCTCGTTCGGGGGGAGTGGAGGGGCGGCGGATGGAATGCCGACGCGAGTTTGA